CCCCCCTTTTCTTCGGGTCTAAGCCCTTTCTTGCCTTCCCTACCCACCGGTATTTCCCTAGTTTGCTTACCACGTCACCATCCTTCAATTCCCACGTCTCTTGGATCCCCACTACATCTAGATCGCTCTGTTCTACTTGGTCTACTATTTCCAACCGCTTGCGCTCACTCCTTGCGAACCCGCACACGTTCCACGACCCGACTCTCAGCTTGTGCTTTTCCCTAGAAGGTTTTGCGCACTCTATCGTTCGCCTTCCGCTTCTTCTGGGCGTTCTTCTGACGTGCCTGCTCGCCTCCCCAGCTCGGTCCTTTCTTCGCCTCCGTCGCCCTCGCCTCTGTCTCCTTACCTTCTCTGTTTCTATCATGTTCGCGATGCAAACCCTCCATCCAAACTTCCTTACGTAGTTCGACAGCTTCTCGGTGTCAACCCCCAAGCACCCTTGGCTGTCTCCCTTGGTTGATTTCACCCGGAAGTGTTCATGCTCCCTGCCTACTTGTCCCCTTGCTAGGGATTGCAGTCCCTCCCTGTCACAATAGTTCTTGATTTCTATCCTCATGTCCCTTGGAATCCCAAACAGCAGCAGCTCCAACTTGTCCCCCTTCCACAGTTTCTGCTTCCATCCTCCCGGCCTCTTCACCATCCTCATGATCTCTACGGCAACTGGACCGTGGCCACTTGTTTTTCGTGTTTTTTCAGGAAGGTNCGAGGGGGATGTGGACGGGGGGCGGGGGTAACCGGTAGGTGAAGTTTGGAGTCTACAGGCCTCCAGTTACCACAGCTCTGACACCAGCACAGCAGGTAGTTGATACGTGTGTGGTTTTTGCACTCTGTTTCCGCCCGTGGACGCACACGTCTGACGACAGTTACATGTATCAGCTGTCGTTCGTTGTATGCATAGCGACAGCTATGCTTCCTTTTCGTTTAGTGATATGAGTAATGCTACTGGTGTAGTGCACAGATGTCAGCACATGAAATAACTGGTACAAGATCAAGATGCCATCAACACGGGACACGCCTGCCTTTCGAACCTCCGGACCAGTCTGAATTTCGCGCTCCGATGCATTCCCATTGTGTATTCGGGGGTTCACGTGTGTACGCGTGGGGCGGGCCTCTCGCCTTGTAGGCGGTCAGCAGCGACAAGCTGGTGGGATCGGGTTTGCTGCTCGTGAGCGTCACCATCTTCGTCTACTACACGCTCTGGGTCATCGTCCTGGTGTGTGTGCTTTTACTGTGCAGCGCAAGACTCCTGCTTTATATCAAACATATGCATCGGGGACAAGTACAGCAGACCTGGTTTAGTCTACAGTTAGCAGTGCGGCTAGGTGTCTCTGATGTTTTGATTTGGTGGGGACGAGTTATGCCGGCATGGAGTGAGATCAACGCCTATCCCGCGGGACAACCAACAACGCCTACATTAACTGAATGTTCACGGATATCGGACGTTTGTAGCTCGACCACGGAAGCTTGGTGCCTGGCTCGTTCGCTCATTCGGCTGCTGTTCCTGCTGGCTTTAGTGTGTGTTGTTTTACGTGCTCCGGGCCTTTCTTCGTCTCCCGTGCCCCGTACACCGCGTTGCTGCACGCTTTTGCTCAAATTGCGTCACACAGCCGTTCGTGGACACTTCGCACCCGGTACAGGACTTTTTTCTGCCTCGGAAGTACGCCATCGCCATCCCCACCGTGCTTGTCATCGTCCTCGTCACGCTCGTGGCAACGTTTATCGGCCTGACCCTCATGAAGTCCGCGAGAAAGCAGAAGCTGAAGTCCTCCTGAAGACTTGCTTGGTGGTCGATTGGCCCGATCGGTGTAAATTTTGTCTGGTTCTCTTACTGCTCCCACATTCCCCCACCCTGTGGGCACACGATAAGATTGAGTTCCGCACAGGAAGAACCAGATGAGGTTCGGTGGGGATTACGCCGGGAGTACGTAGTGCACGAAAGGCAACGCACCAGTTGGGAGCCGTGCCGTCGTTCATGGCAAACCCTGTTTTAGTTTTGGTGTCATGTGCTCAGGTGGCATAATGCCGGTATGGAATGGTTGTGTTGCGTGTGTCGCGGTTGTATACGTTCCTGTTGTCGAAATACTGTAATAGCTTAATGTATGCCTGATGTAGGCGTTACTTGTTTTGTGAGTTGTGTCGGGAGTCGTGTCTGCAGTTCCGTAGTCTGGCACTACTCTTTTGACGGAGGCTTCCTCGAATTTACGGCGAGAAACCTCTTCTCGGAGCAGATGTGGTCTTCTTGCCACACATGAGCTGTTGCTCTTAGGGGGTGTTTGAGTTGCTCCAAAGTGTATGCGCCACATGCCGGTGATGCGTGGTTGATCACGAAAAGACAACGGGACGAAGAGAACGCGCGACTACGTTTAATATAATACTCTGAGAACTTGCGTGTTGATAACACCCATTGCAACCACGTACAATTTTTTAACTCAATCTATGGACTCGAATGTCCCGGGGTGTCGACCAAGGCTCCACGTTTGTCTCTGATGTTTTGATATTGTAATGCGACATATACAGAAGCGGAGCCCCATCTGTCTTTTCTGTTGCTCTTGCTTCGCAAGTGTTCACACTCTGTACAACTACGGTAGTTGTATTTCTTTGGGCAATCAACTCGGTTGATTGGAAGCAAGTATTGCACAAGCTTTTGAGAATTGATTGGAATCAACTATTTATTTGCCCAAGATTTTGAGACTTGTGATAAGGATAAACTATTTGACCCAGACTCAGAGACTTCAGTTGAAGTCTCAGAATCTCGGTCAAATGGTTTATTCCGTTCAACTACGGGTTGTTGGGACCCTTGGTTTCGTTGTTGTTGTACAGGGTGTACGACATTTCCTTTGTCGTGTCTTGATGCTGTACACCCGATATACGTGGGGTACCGTTTTGTTTTAGGGGAGGCGACGGGTGGAAGCGGGGTTCGTCATGATGAGCAAAGGACTACCCACAGGTGTCTCGTGTACAATAACGGATTTGAGCAAAGCTGCACAACCTAACCCATTTTGTGGTTCCGCTGGAGATGAACCCTTCCGCGTGACCATGAATGGGAGCCCCTTTACCCGGCAGTAAAGCTTCGAGTGCTGATTCAGAGCGGTGGGGAAAAAATGGCAAAAGGCTGGCAGCTCTCAAGCCGCTTTTCCCGCTCGTGGAGCATATAGAGCAAGAAGAAATACCACATGTTACCTCACGATGATTGCTGCGTTGGTTTAATGTGCACACAGCCAATTAATTACCCAATGTAACGAGAGGCACTGGGATGGAACCGTAACAAGAAAAACTCCGCAGGAGGAAGACAGGAAGAGGTCTGGGGAGAAATTGACACACAAACTTGCAGGGAGTTGTGAGAGACGGATGCGTGTGAAAAATAGACCAGAAAAGCTCGCTGAGCAGGCGGAAAATACACAGCGCATTTGTGCTTGTACACGAACATGAAAGTACATTCCTCTCTAGCCCCCCGCTTGCGGCTAGCTCTGGCTTCGCCAACGGTATAGACGCATGCACAAGCAACCAGTACCAACGCTCCACATTTCGTACGCGCGCACAGCATGGGAAATCGCGACGAGGTGCTTGCCCAGGAAAAGGCAAGGTCTGAGGTTCTTGTTCTCTTACTGCCGTCTGTCGGTCCATCTACGCCAAACGACACTCTGAAGAACGGCTGCGAACCGTTGGAAATACTAACAAAAAAGCCTAAACAAACCAAAAACGATTACAAACACGGGGGGGGGGATGCGAGGGGCATCCAATGCTACGCAAGAGATATACATGACGGGAGGGAGGGAGAGCCACCGACCTCAAGTGAAGTAAGACAAAATGCTTCCTCCCCGGCATCCACAACTCCGTGAGCTCCTTCCCCCGTTTACCCTCTACGGCTGTCAGTTTCAGCCTTCAGACAGGTCCGAGCAAGACAAAAAATCAAAGCCACAACGGTACAGTGGCCGTCCTTGCACCCGTACGAATTGACTTACGCCGGGGGTTCGCGGCTCGCCCGGTAATCAACCGATCGATCTCACGCGGCGTTCCTGTCGAGGCCAACGAGGCAAGCAACGCTGAGAAAACAGGGCGGAACAAGATCGGAGCTGATCTCACCGGGGGCGGTTCTACTTTCTGCCAACAACTAAGACACAACACGGGACAGATCTATCTAGTTCTACCTCCAACGTGGTCTTCATCAAGCCTACAAACACTCGCGGCGCCTTCCAACGGCCGTTCACGAGACGACTTCAAGAGGATCGTGCGGTTGATTGTTCCGGACACTCTGCCCCCTCACCCCGCCCCCCCTCCCTGCCGGTCGCCTCCTATTCCGGCGACCATTTCAACGACCAACAATCCAGGAACGAGGCAGGCGTTGCCCTGCTCTTCGATCACAGCAGGCCCTTGGCCAAGCAGCTTAGTCCGTTCTCACGAACGAGTTCTCCCCCCCCCCCCCCCCCCCCCCCCCCCCCCCCCCCCCCCCCCCCCC